GACTGATATAGAAGTGAGAGTGAGAGAGAACCATGATGACCCAGACCTAGTGGGACAGATAGGTACCATCCGCAGTATATCGGTAAGAACATTTACATTCTGTTTACTATAAATATACTATCACATAGTGATACTATCATATCACTAAAGCATTTTTAGTTGCATAAACTGAACAAAATATTTAAATTTAAAATTCTAAGTTGGAATGCTCTTACGTAAATTTATAAACACTGAAATAAATAATTGTTTAAAACTAAACAAAAATTTTCAAAAGTTTTTGGTGGACGCACACAGGAAGGGTTGGAAAAAGTAGAATAATGGCTAATTTGTGATGTAGGTTTCGCAACTGATAAGCAATTCACCAATCCCAGCAACTTCTACTCGAGTCATCGACCATTTATTTTAGGAGGGCCTCTGGCACTAAGCTTTGCTGCAGACTGATGAACACCTCTTGAATTGCATAAGATTCAAAGATTCCAGGCTAAGCTCGGTTGGGAGGCGCCTTAGACTGCTCGGCTATTGATCATAAGTAACTTTCTACCTGCTAATAAAACTCCAAATAACCAAAATTTCAAGTGTAGATATTAGTTCTAGAGTTGACTCCTAGTTTACAGAACATGTCTGGTGTTGCTGTGACTTACTCCAGTGTCTGATTTATCAGCCTGGTAGGGCAATATAATAGTATGAATTTATAAGGACAATATAAGAACTGTTAAAAGCAAATGATACATTTTACCGAAATACCTCAAATGAGCTTCTCAAATCTCTTTGTGCAGGGTGGTCTGTGCAATGTGTTCTTGCCAGACGAGGATCGTACGGTGAGCATCAGCTGTGAACAGTTGGAGCCTGTCATCCCCTCGTGGCCGAACCCTGTCAAGGTGATCATGGGAGAAGACAAGGAGCGAACCGGCTTCCTTCTGTCCATCGACAATCAAGAGGGTGTCGTCAAACTGGACGATGACGACGTCAAGATGTTACAACTACGGTACTTGTGTAAATACAGCAAACCAGGACAGGACTAGACTGATATGTAGTGTTACATACTGCTTTATTATCAATTCCCAAAATCTGACTTGTTATATATTTTGAGTTGTTCAGGCTTTGGTGTCGATAAGCCTATACTGACTCTTGAATGTTATCAGGTAGGCTTTTTGTTTGGATGTATAAACTAAATTGTTTTCGAGATGTTTCAAAGCCAGGAATTTTAAACAGTTCTAAATGAAAACTGTATCAGAGTTAAGTGTTTGTAAAAAAGTTTGTTTTTTATGGATGGTTCTCTAAAAAATCTAAAAAAGTAGAGCTCATACTTTTTTACTTTTTTTACTAAACCATCAAATATTTAAAGATTGTTATTTTAAATTGTTTTACAATTTTTATGATGTTATTTTAAACGGTTTTGAAAATTGTAGTTAAAGGATTGTCTAAAATAGTACAAACAAAATTGCTGTACTAAAATTGTGTTTTTAAGTGATTTTCTAAAGGTTTGTTAACTAAACAAGTATTTTTCCTAGATTTTGCCTCCTCAACAAACAGATTTATTGAAGATTCATTAATTGGTTTACATCATGTCAATATAACCAAAGCCTGTACACCTGTAATATATATTTTGTTGTAGTTTTCATTCTTGATCATTTGAATTTTTGAATTATTTTTTTACTTTAGTGATGGAATAATATTATGGAGACATGAAATTTTTATTTATAGTCTTACAAAGTATTATATGGATAAAATTGTGGAAATTGGAAATACAGAAAATGTGTCCAAATTTCAATAATTGTAATATCTTTTTCTCCTTGTGTTTTACCTCTGAATGAGATCAGTATATAATATTAATTTGTATATATTTTTCTTTCTATTCTATTGTGAGAATATAATATTCCTGTTTTCATTTTTTTATACATGCACCTGCTTTATCCCAGGTGAACACTTTAACTGTACATTCGGAGTGCACACTGCTTCAGAATTAGATTCAGATTTTCGGCGCGTGGTTAACCTGAGTCAGATTTGATGTTGGTGGCCACAGTGCAGTGGCGTAGATAGCCTCTTGTCATGGGGGGGGGATACCGGGGGGTCTGGGGGGTATGGGTATGGAACGAAAATTTGAGAAAAATAGCTTCCCTAAACACAATTTTAAGCGTTTAGGAAGTGAAATCTGGTGTTAATATTTAATAGAATTTTATGCAATTTTGTTGCAACTTTTTGCTTTAATTGCAGGTGGACTAGTTTTTTATTACATTTATTTTTAAAGTACTTAGGCTAGGCTTTTCGTTATATGATAACATTTAACTTTATGTTTCTCTATCCTTTAACACTGAATATTTTGATTAATATGTTTACGCCACACAACACTATTTTGACGAACTTCCCACGCAAGGATTTAGTCCAGAAAACAGCTGTTTGCCGTCAGCTTAATGAAAATGGGTTTCATTGCGTACTAACTACTGTACTGTAATGAGTTTTACCGGTGACCAATCAGCTGATTATACTGTATTTGCGTGGCAATGAGTGTTTATAAACAAAAAAATAACCTCTCTTAGAGATTACGACTAGTGATTTTTAGTCCTTTAGTTGGTGGTCATATATAAAGATTTGTAAAGATTTAGTAGTATGGCGTAAACTATTGTATGTAACTCGTCCAAAATGTGTGTACCGGACTCGTATGGTAATCCCGTACTCGACCTCGTCTCGCACGGGAACGACCACACTCGTCCGGTAAACACTTATTTTCAGGACTAGTAACGTGATATACTATAACTTGACTTGGCCTATTTAAAAAAGGCGAGTAATAAAATCACTTAACTTCGTTGTTCCATTGCCACACCAGCTAACGCCTTCAAATATTTCTTTTCGGGGCGAAAAACCCGATCAGTCAGACACTCAGAACATTCATGAGACACCAAGGAATACGAAAATCATAAAAACACACTGGCACAGTAATTAACACCAGACGACAGATCAAGCGTAGTGTGGGTGACGGGGTAGAGGAGGAGGGTGTCGTCGATGGGCGGTTGAACGCGGAAGGTCCGGTGACTCACGTCTGTTTGGCGCGCAAATATCCCACCCCACCACTGCTACCGGCATGTAGTTTATCTGTTTCCATTTATTCATCGATAATGAAAGTATATGTACAAACAAACAAGCTTAGTACAATTGGCATGGCATTTGATTAACTATTTTGTTGCTCACGTTAAAACGATTAATTTCAGGTAGGTGTAAAAGGTGAAGTGGTGGCGGAAGGGGGAGGGGCGGATAGGCTGTTGACCTTCTGTGACTTGTGTCTGTACTCTGTTTCGGCGCAAAAGCCATACTACTTTCACTGGCATTGCAGTTTATTTACGGTTTATTGATATTGAAAGTATACTTACGAAAAACAAGCCTAATACAATATAGAAGTAAAATTAAAAAGATTCACTATTTCATTGCATACATTAAAACATTATTTTTTAAATGTTATTACAATTTTTTTACTCATTATAGGTTGAAGGGGGGGGATATATCCCCCAGATCCCCCCCCGTATCTACGCCACTGCCACAGTGGAAGCAGAAAATTCGTAGTCAGTTGTAGTTATGGAGTTGTCAGATGAGGAATCAATGTGTGCAATTCATAGCATCTGAAACTGTTGTGTAGTTACAGTCAGTTAAAAATGGTGTTCATGATATTATATTTATATTTTTTTATTTTCCCATAGCTTAAAATGATTGAGCACGGTTCTTTCTAAATTGTTGAATGGAGCCCGAAACTGATTATTAAAATTGAACATCGTATTGTAAGTGGAAGTGGTGTAACCTACAAAGAATTTTTCCTGAAGAGCGTTTAGTAATAACCCTAAGGTAAGGGTGAAAAGTTAAATATTTTACTATAAAGACCAACTTGATTTAATGAAAACAGTATGCGTACAAGCTCTATCAGAATCAGACTCTGAAACCAGAATGAAGAATTCATTCTGGTAAGCAGATGCCTGCGTGAGGGCTCGGCTACCGGCAGCCACTATGGTCATTTCCATTTAAAATCAAGAGCCATTCCTTTTGCTGAAAATCTGTATCGACGTGCACTCTGGATGTACCAATACTGTTACCAATACTGTTACTGGTGTTACTCTATATAAGGTAGTATTTTCCAACCCTAGTGCAAACACCATATCACTCAATAGAAAATGCTCCTATATAGCAAACAATGAAATAATGAATCGTTTTTCATTTTCTTGGTAATAAATTTACTTACAATTTTGTATAATGTGGTGAAAAATAGTGTTCGTACCACGGGCCAAAAGGGTTTTCCAGCTCTCAATCGTTTTAAGTTCCGACTTTGTCTCGAACTTAAAAATTATCTCGAGCCAGCAAAACCTAATTTTCGGCCCTAAGTACGATATATCCTATATATTAAAAAAATATTAGTCATTTAGTTCACGCAGATTGCAAGACAACCGCTTGACGGATTTTGATGATTTCTTTTTTTGATTTGAAGGTCATTATGTGTAGAATGTCGTGACGGAGCCAGAATTTGTATTTAAACCTCAGGGCTCTGACGACGGGAATTCCAAGTTTCCATGTTTTTCATATGGAGGAGATTTTTATTTTTTATTCATGGTTTATTAATACCATATATCTGTTAGAACATTTTTATTTAAAACATCTAGCCTATCTCAAAATGTTTGTTTTTGTTTATTATTTACTAAGATTAAAATATTTCTGGGTTAAGCTGTTTTAGAAAACCATAAACTTTGACTACTTCTATTTACACTACACAGTTTAATTGTGTGTGTAATTTTCTCTTTTATTTGTTTTAGAAATATGTAACTTGGATTTTTACTTAATGAACAAAGTACCTACACACCTTTTTGGTAGTGTTTGGACGTATCTTCAGTCTTTTTATGGTCTTTTTTTTAGGCCCTTACTGAGGTTCCACTGTAACTAGCACTTAATTGGTCAAAATCATATAATTGATTGACCTTAAGTTAAGCAAACACAGGGTGTAGTAAAATAAATAATTTACTGTAATAATTTTATTAAAATTTAATAACAATATACATAAAATAAATTGAAGTGAATGTCAGCGTGAACAAAAACCAAAACTTAAACATTGTAAAAATTCTCAAAAAATCACAACCAATAAAGTTGAATTGGTTGAATGGAAAGTAACTTAATATTAAATACAAAACATTCATCAGTGTAATAGTATATGAATAGGGAGTGTGATAATGAATACAATATATACATATAATCATAATCGGTTAAGGCATTTGCGGTAATACACTAGCTTATTTTTTATTTTATAAAGGAACTTTTAGTAAATAATTACTAATTAGCTAAGTCATTAGTACATTAAAGGTGAAGAATATGATTTTCTTTTTTCAATTTAATGTCATAAACTTGTATGCTGTTAAAGGCACTTGTAAAAACTTGGTTAAAGTAAAAATGTAGGTCCTTGGCAAAAAAATTAAATTATATTACATCATAAAAAAACATTTCACAACTCCTAGTAAATATCAAAATAGACACTTAAGTACACTTATGAAAGGCTTAAATTACATAAATCAAACAGTAACTAAATACAAATTTAAAACAATCTTAACGAGATCAAACAAAACTGTGGTGACTGATATGTTTGACTTGGATTTTATGAGATATGACAGTAAAAGATAAATTTTCTACTACAAAGTAAATACTTTTAGATAAAATTGAACTTATCATTGATCTAGGATGGATATGTTTTTGTAAGTATCCATCGAAAAAGCAGGAAAAGGCTAATGATTTTTGATTTGTTTACTCTAATGATTAAAAATATATACTGTCACGCTATTAAAAACATTTTAAACTCATCATTTTGTTAAACTGAGTCATAGGTTTGTACATTCATAGATTATGAACTTGGATAATAGGTCGTATGTAATGATCTATTATCATTGATGATAGATGTTTTCTACAGTACCTGCTGTAGCTTATTGAGAAAAATATCACTGTCGGTGTGTCCACAGACCAAAGCGAAGTACAGGTAAAGCTACTAGTTTAATCATAAACAAGAAAAATATAACACCAATAAAAATGGTTTGGTACGGTGGTTAAATTTTAGTCATCATACCACAGCTAGTTCAAGTTATATTCACTCCATCAACATTAAAATAGTACCAAAGGTTTGATTGTTTAAAGAATATGTGAAATAAAATTATTATCACAAGGCTTTTTAATGCCTACAAATTAAGCTCATAATACTATCAATAATAATTATTATTATTTTTCATATCTAGTATATATTCGTTTTTTGTTAAAATATGTAATGGCAACAAATTCAATCATTGTTAAGTAAATTATAAGTTCCAGCTTATTATTTATCTTTACATACCATTAAATATAAGGAAATAATTCAATAATTTCTTTAAAACCTTTAAAGCAGTTCATTTTAAACATTAAAAGGTCATTTCAATTTTTAATAATGGTTGGATAAAAAGTACTTACCAACATTAAATGTTGTATTACTTAAAACTTAGCCTATAATCAGCCCCTGGCTGATGCAGTAGAGGTTAGGTTAAGACTTAATTCATCCTAAATGTAACAAGGTAAATAATCTTTTGTGTATATTGTATAAAAGCTTAACCTAAAGGATAAAATAATATAGCCTAACAAAGGTCCGCGAGAACCTGCAAGTTGATATCACTTAGTAAGGACTAAGGAGAGAAGTTTTTACAAGCCTCATTCAACCATTGCTTCTGCATACATCTACCATATCCACTTTACAAAAATCACTGGATGAGATACAAAATCACTGGTATGTCTCAAGAACTCTTGCAGTGCAGACACTATGACAAAGGGTTTGTGCCGTTTCCTGCATTCAGTACTGCCTCAGCGACAGTTTTTGTTCCGTTGCTAAAGGCGTCTAGTACTGCAGCCATTGCGGTACTATTGCCAACAGCTGATTGCAGTTTGTCGATGGTATCAGTTACATTGACTGACGACACAACTGTCGATGCCAGCTGTCCGAAGACTTCGGTAGCGTTGACCGCGGTCTTGTTGAACAAATCTTGTGCTTCATCGACCACAGGAGAGTACATGGCTGCGATCTCCTCTATACTTGTGTACGTCCCGAAAATAAGTGCCAGCACTCCGAACCCGAAGACTAGAATATTTTTTAGGATGATCCAGTTGCATGCGCCGAATCCGAGGTCCCAATAGGTGACAATCTCGATAAAGATGGGAATGATGAGTCCAAGCAGGGAGAAGCAGAAGGCTCCGATAAGGCCGATGAAGGGACCAATGGTTGGGACAGCAACAGCCAGCAGCACTAAAAACATACATTGCTGTCAGCCAAAGTGCATTTAACAAGAAGGGCTACAGAATTATACCTTTTGAGGTAATCAAGTTTACACTATTCTATCGGTTTTTCATTTACTATTCTATTTTCATTTTGATGTCCCCAGAGGCCAAAAACACCATTCGTTCAAATTTTATATTATATAGATAGATTTATGTGTCCGCAAACGCGATAACTTGAGTAAATTTTGTCCGATTTTGATGAAATTTGGTTTAAAGGTGTATGGCGGGATGAACTTAAATGAGTATGATCGGACCATGGGAACGGGGTTTTATAGAGTAAAAATTTGTTTTTCTTTTTTTTGACCCACAAAACAAAAAATTTCCCAATTTCTCTCAACACTTTTTTAAAGAGCTTAAAAAACAAATAATTAGTTATGAAAGTCTTTTTGTACGGTTATTGGTAACAGAAAAAATTTAAATTTTTAATTCTTACGTTATTCTAATGGAGAATATTGTAAAATGGTATAGTTTACTTGTTTATGGATATATTTTGATCAAACTTGGCAAATTTATTTATTTTATACAAATCTATTAATAGTTTACTAAAAAAACACTTTATTAGTTTCCTTGTTGCAGCAAACCTAAGTACTCGTTAAACCTAATGTCAAACATATTTAATTGAAAATCAATTCAAACAAATGGAAATCGCTTAGTCGGCAGGTTTGCTGTGGCAGGGGTGTTTGGGATTTTATTGGCTAGTTTCAACATTCAAAAGTTAAGAAATAAGTTAAATTTTTATGCTATAGGTTTGTATTATAATCTCATTCCTGTTTTTTGGAGTCCGGTTTCTTTAAGTTTTGATTGCTTAAAAGAAATGGCTTTTAGACAGTCTCAATGCTTTATAGCATTTTCTCTTACATTGGTTGGGAGGAGGACTTTTTCCAGGCTTCTGTAACAACACACTTGTTTGCTACTGGAAAATATTCCTGTGGGTCCTTGTACAATTTACCTGTAAAAGCCTTAAACTAAATGGTTATCTTCTAACTTTAAAGTAACCAATTTCTGTGCCATTAATCGCTAGTCTGTGCTCATCTATTCAGTATGTATGATAAGTGTAATCATAGCTTTTAGATTAGCAAACTGATCAAATAAAAACTAAAACAAAAAATGTTATATGCCTGTCAAAAAATATTCCTGTGGGTCCTTGTACAATTTACCTGTAAAAGCTTTAAACTAAATGGTTATCTTCCAACTTTAAAGTAACCAATTTCTGTGCCATTAATCACTAGTCTGTGCTCATCTATTCAGTATTCACTAAAAGAAGCCGTAATAAGTGTAATCATGGCTTTTGGATTAGCAAACTGATTTAAAAACTAAAACAAATGTTATGCTAACCTGAAGCAGAGGTGAGCAGAGTGCGGACGACATACTCAGCCATCCTTGAGCCTTTGGAGAACCTATCTTTCACTCCGTTCCAGACAATCTCGAGACACACGTAGTACTGCAGACCATACGTGCAGAACACTGCCAGCCCCACCAGAATCTTCACTGACTGAGCCAAGCTGTGTAGACAATATGTACATTAGACATCCTTATGTAAAATCCTATTGTAGAATAGAGTCGGATACAGTCTTTGAGTAATTAATGTAGTTCAACTGTAATATTCTATTTTCTGCATTGTTACCGTGATAGTTGATGTGACATAAAAGATGTTGTTATAGCTTACAATAAGTTGTTCTTGACTTTGTAAAAATAGTTGCCGTATTCAACAGAAATCAGAAGTTTACGTCATATTTTTCAAATTGGTAGATTAAAAAATTTTATACCTTGTTATGTTTGAACATGTTGTATTATAGCACTAAATTTAAGACTGTGATCAACATCTTAGGAGCTAATTTATGTTTTAGAATAATTAAGGACTGACAAAATTTGTTTAAGAAATCTAGACAAAGCACTTGTACATGTGATTTTCACAAATTTGTATGTTATGTGCAAATAAATTATCATTATCATTTCGTCAGTGGCTGAATTCAACTAGGTTCATTTGTATTCTGAAACTAGTGACAACTTTAACACAGGGATCGAATGTCTATTTAACAATAGTCAATTTAACAATAGACAAAGGTACTGTCCCAAAGTTGAAACTAAAACTTTTGAAAAGTCTCATAACGTCCATGGAACAGTCTTGCACAAATTGACCTCACCTAATCCACGAGCGTCCTCTTTTAACAGTATGCACTGTCTCTTACGTCTGGGGGTCTCTTTTCCCCAAATTAATAGTCCTAATTACACCTTATCAGTACTATGTATAATGGTGTATTGTTAGAGTAACTACATTTTCTAACAATAGTCACTGTATTAAGAAATTTAATCTATAAGATAGTTGCAACAGCACTCACAAGTCCTCAGTAGGCAGGTTAAGTGTGATGCTGCCCTTTGTCTCATCACCATACTTGACATAGCCCAAGAAACCCAGCAAGATGTAGACAAGCGTCACTCCACCCATGCCTTGGTTGAGAACTCCGCAGATGCCAATGAAATGCTGTGGGTTTGACATAGAGTTTTCCAACGGCATCACCTGTGATACATGAGAAGTTGTATAATAAATACCCCCGCCGCAGCAAATCTGCAGACTAAGCGAATTTCCATTTGACTGATTGGATTTACACTGAAATGTCTACTTAAAAAATAAATATAACATTTATTCCCGATTTAAATAGAATTAGTTTAACAAGTACTTAGGTTTGCTGCATCAGGGAGGGTAAAACTGTTTTTTTTTGTAAATGTTAATAGTTAGTAAGAAATAAAAACATTATCCAAATTTGATCAAAATATGTTCATAAACAAGCAAACTACAACAGTTTACTTATTCTCCATAAAAACAACATGGGAATTTTAAGTTTAAAATTTTTTGGAATTTACTCCGTAACCATTAGGCGCATAATAACGCTTCAATATACTAAATTATTTGTTTTATTAAGCTCTACAAAATGGTTTGGAAAGAAATTGCTAAATTTTATGTTTTTTGGGTCAAAAATGGGAAAAACCTATTTTTACCCTAAATAAAACCCATAGTAAACCCCCGTTCCCATGGTCCGATCAAGCTGGATCGCGAACTCGTTCAAATAAACGTAGGTTTACACGTTTGTACCAAATTTCATCAAAATCGGATCATTTTTGCTCGAGTTATCGTGCTAACGGACACATATCTAATTAACTTCTTGATCAGCATATCTAATATATAAAATTCTCGTGTCACAGTGTTTGTCTGCAAACTCCTCCGGAACGACTTCACCGATCGTTATGAAATTTGGTGTGTAAATTCTGTAGGTATGCGAATCGGACGTAAACTATTTCCCGTTTCGAAATTCTTAAAAGGGCTCCGCCCCAGTGGCTCTGGAGTTTCCCATGTTAACCTTATGAGAAATGGAATTAATGAATCTTAACAGCTGTTTCAATTAAACAAGTTGGTTCTGTTCTATGATGTTCAATAGCATTAAAGTTACAAGGATTACCAACAGGGTGCAGCACTATTATTTCTTTTACATTTATGACTACAGCTAATTTGCAACCAAAAGGTGAGTGAGCGTAGCGAACGAACTTCAACCTGGAGGCGAGTGAGCGTAGCGAACGAGCTAACCTGAAGGCAAGTGAGCGCAGCGAACGAGCTCCAACCTAAAGGTGAGTGAGCGTAGCGAACAAGCTCCAACCCAAAGGTGAGTGAGCGTAGCGAACGAACTTCAACCAGGACGTGATTGAGCGATGCGAACGAGAGAGGCGAGTGAGCGATGCGAACGAGATCATCTTGAAAATTAAACGTAACTGTACTTTCTTTCCATCGGTCTGTCTTAGGGGAAACCTATAACTTAGGCGATACGAAGTTCGCCGGGTCAGCTAGTATACATATAAATATATAAATATATAAACATATAAATATATATATATATGAATTTGAACGGATGGTGTTTTTGGCCTCTAGCGACCTCAAAACCAAAAAAAAAAATCGGTCCCGCGTCCAGGTCTTACCATGAGTACTACGGTAATAGCTTATTCCATATATGGGAAATTCGCTAATAAAATGAACACTCTAATTAAAATAGGTTGCAGTAAACTATATATATTTGTAGGTACTAGTAGCACTTTTTTATAATTTTGGTCAACCTCCTCAATTTTTACAAGTGGTACTAACTACTAAATATAAGGGGTACTGGTTTATGAAAATTATTAAAGGGGTTCCAAAGTAACTGATAGGATCTTTGAGGTGTAGGATATCACCCTAAAAAAAGGGAGGGGGCCATGGGTTTTATAATGTTTTTAGCTGTTTTGGTACATATAGAAGCCCTCAAGTATATACAAATAGCTAGAAGTCCAAACTGAACATTCTGGTAAGTGAAAGAAATGTTCCATGCATACAACAAACAACCGGCCAGTTGGATCATCTAACTACTTCCAAGGCTAATATTTAATTTTAACCCATAGCTAGTAGGTATATGGCAAATAAATCGTATTATTTTTACAGAATATATGTATTCATTTGACTTTTTTTATGTCTACAATTATAATTGTGGCATTTTGTATGAAATATCACAAATGGTTAGGAAATGTTTTTAGGAAAAAGCATTTAGCTTGGATTAAAAAATTATATAGAATGTAGATGACACAGCTAACTCATCTGAAGAAAGTTTGCAGAGGAGTCACAGCAGAAATAATTTATACACACAATAGACTTGATTGCCAGAAATAGATGGTTTTGCAATTATACAAATGTGAAATGTGGTTGTCTGAAAGATTCAAAATGTCAAGTGTATATAATATACTTGTGCTGTGACTCGTCTGCAAACTTTCTTCAGGTCAGTTAGCTGTGTCCTCTCCATCCAATATAATTTTTAAATGCTTGGGAAAGCGATGCAATCCCCTTATATTTTTTTGTGGATATGCTTCTCTCAAAACCACTCTCACATACCCATCTCTCTCATCACACAGTACAAAACACTAACACTCCCAACAACACATCTGAAATATGTGTCCCCATCTCAAATGATAATACTAATAATAATAGTTAAAATTTTATCTTACAACTCCAATGGCTTCCATAGCGAAGATGCAGATGCTGAAGAAGATGGGCCATTCCATGACTGGGGCAACCTGAGGCATCTCCTGAGGTGAAGGGAGATCCTGGACCAGGTAGTAGAATGTGATGCCTAGACCCAGGCCCATGAACAGGTTGGCCACCTGCAGGCATACATAAAGACTACAGCTGGCTTGCAATGCTAGTCAAATATTATATCCAAACATAACTAATTTAAAACCAACATTAATAAGAAACATAGATTAATATGGACATTGACAAGTAGCTCTGTATTGTACTGGTGAGCAAATCAATGTAAGGAGCATTGATGAAGACCACGTTGTCACCACCTCCCTAGATCACAACACATCCTCAAAACTTTGAGAGAAGTTCATGCTCTTCATATTAGGAAAGAATCACCGCTTAACCTTGTTCATCCTGACTATATATTAAGCCGATTTTCCAAGGCATGGAAGTGGAAAGTAGAGAGAGGAACGCGGAGAGCGGACTCCACTTGTCTTAGGTAATTTAATGTTACTGTTTTCCTAGAAGCAGAGCGGAACACCATGTTAATCTCATTTCCGCTCTCCGCGTTCCTCTCTCCACTCTGCGCTTACGCGCCTAGAGAAACCCAGCTTTATACTATTAGTTTTGGAATGGTTACAGCGAACCACTTCAAAGTATTTGATTGCAATGTTTTTTATTGCTATAACTTAAACTTAAAAGTTGAAATTCAAGTAAAAGTTTAATTTTTATTTGAAACCCAAAAGTTTCCTTATACTGATTACACATACCATAGACACAGGGGCCAGAGACTTGAGGTTGGGTACCCAGGACATGAGTATGAGAGGGACAAGCAGAGCGATGATGTAGATCCTCTGATTGTTCTCGAACCCTAGGTGGTAATCTATCACCTGGAGAAACATCAAGTGTGAAATTATTATTACCATGATACTGGGCGTATTTTACCCAAATATGATGTGCAGAATGGAGTGAGATGCGTTTTGCAGCTCTGCTAAAGATGCTACACATTTATTAAAAGTGTAATGACCAAAGACAGCTGGCTGGACTAATTATAACTTATTATTATTGATAGTCCAGGAGCAAACTGCACATATCCAGCTTCCGTGGGATTTTTTGTGAAGCAAATGTGTGACTATGTGGAATCTCTTTATTATATGTCACATAATGGTGTAGTACCGGGTGTTTACCCTCAAATTGCGGGGTTTGGTTTTTATGACGTCGTAAATCCAAGATGGCCGCCATGTGTGACATCTATTCATTAAATTAATAATAACTCTTTTCAGTGTAAAATAATCGAATTTTAATTTACACCATTGAATTCAGCTCAAAAAATCAAACAACTTGGTGTTTTGAATCATTGCTCTATGACCATTGGTTACCACCAATCATAGTTTTTATTTGAATATATCTTCCAAACGAAAAAAATATATTTAAAAACATATTTCAGCATTGAAATCAGCGTGAAAATTTAGTTCATAATGATGTGTCACAACACTAGCATTGTATAAAAAAGTTATTAACATCCAATATGGCGGATCCAAGATGGCGGCCGAAAACACCAGCTTGGCCACACTTTCAGACAAAATACTCGGTAGTACACGGCTCTACATGTCATTACCTATCAATCGCCAACAATCATACAATTGCTTAATTCAAAATCCTACAAAATTACATATGCCTCACAACTATAGTCTAATTCATTTTATTTTCTAATACCTATAATTTGTTTATAGCAGACCTACCCGTAGCAGCAGACCTTTATACTCAACGAATTACAAATGCTTCAATAAATAATTAAAATCAGCCACACATGATCATTTCTCAAAGTATGTTCATGAACAAGCATGCAAAAAATTGTCCATAAGAATAACATTGGAAGTTAGTATGCAGGTTTGCTGCCACGGAAATGTAAAAATGGGGTATTTTAGGCCATAATCAAGTAGATCTCTATTAAATGAAGCTACATACCAATTATTATTAAGATATGCTGAGTAATAAGCTAGATATACAATTTTATTTTTTCCCCATTAGGATAACATGGGGACAATGTTCTGTGTTTTCCGCCTTCAATATCTCGGTAACCAATGGTCATAGAGCAATGATTCAAAACACCAAATTGTTTGATTTTTTGAGCTGAATTCAATGGTGTAAATTAAAATTCGATTATTTTACACTGAAAAGAGTTATTATTAATTTAATGAATAGATGTCACACATGGCGGCCATCTTGGATTTACGACGTCATAAAAACCAAACCCCGCAATTTGAGGGTAAACACCCGGTACTACACCATTATGTGACATATAATAAAGAGATTCCACATAGTCACACATTTGCTTCACAAAAAATCCCACCGAATACAGTTTGCCCCCCATGAGTTAACTACACTGTACAGTAGCATGTGTAGCAGGTTGTTTGTTACTTATTTGACAAAGTGTTGAATATGTATTGTCTGAGCCGGTCGAACCAGTCAGATCTGAACGACAGGGAATTTACGGTACATTGTATCTCACACCAAATGACCCTTAATAGTTAACTCATTAAATACATTTAAATACATTTAATGAGTTAACTATTAAGGGTCATTTGGTGTGAGATACAATACACACCTGCTCGCAGAGCGTATAATAAATATAGTCGCCACTCCTATACCTACAGCTATACCAGTCGTGAAGCCGATTTCCGCCATCTTGGTAAGAGAGTCGGACTCGGAACTTAGAAAACACGGCGTCATTACCACTGTGTTATTCTATGCTACTTTATGAATTAGATGAAGATACCACTCCGAGGATACATATAGAACTACCCCCCCCCCCCCTTCGATATTGACCTAGGACTCTGCCCCGCGGGCTTTCAAAGCGCTGAGGTGAGAGTTTTAAAAGTAAATATTGATTGGTGGTTTCAATGGTAACAATAAAAAAAATGGTTTAAATGTAAATGCAGACCGGGCCGGCCGCCATCTTGGTACGAGAAGCCTGCTTCACTCCAGACGGCAAGTGCCACCTCTATATTTTATTCTATATTGCTGATGCAATATTGCACCTAACCATACAAAGCTGAAATATCACATGGAAAAAAAGACAATAAACAATCATTAAACTTTATATTAATAATGACCCAGACTACAATTAATCTTTTATTGTACAAGTACCGACCTGCTGGAAGTTGTTTCCTATGATGACAGTGTAGACACTGCAGGTCCCAAAATAGGATAGAAACAGACCCACCAGGATGGATACCCTGCGGGAAAACTTATTTAGTACCGTACACAATTTATGTTCAAATACAAAAATAGTGATCTTTATTAAAAATCTTAGACTGGGTGAAGAATTTAAATAAAGGTGTAAATATAGATGTAAATTGCACACAAGACCAATCAAGATAAAATTGGGAACCCTCGATTCACAGTCCTGCTCCTCACCAAGGAGACATAACCTTAGACTGCTCAGGCGTTGACATTCGTGATGGTCTATCGCACTTACAAGGCAGGTGAACATAACACAGACTTTTAAGTTAAACATACGTATATGTTGTCGGGAACAGTTATAGTTATATATTACCTAGCTGTTTTTGCTGAGCTATGTTTGCATAGTTGTAAGTGAAGGTTTTGAATTACTCCTGATTGTTGATGAATCAGCCATTTTTATTATTTTTAGCGAATTTCCCTATAGGGAAGTAGCTATTACCGTAGGTGGCACGGTAAGACCTAGACCCTGGACCGATTTACTTTTTCATTTTGATGTCCCCAGAGGCCAAAAACACCATTCGTTCAAATTTTTATATATGTATATATATATATATATATAGACTTGTATACAGGGTTGGGCAAAAGTGTGGATACCCCTAGTTAACTTTTAAACGCGTTGCAATAGGAAAACCAAACTCGGCACATATTTACAACATAAGAAATTTCACTTTTTCATCAAAGTTACAACTTTGCCCAAGCCCCCAAAATGGGGTATTTTGGGGGCAGCCCCATATTTTCAAATGTAAACACCTATCATGTGACCCATCATTTTAAAAGGTTTTTTAAGGGAAATTGAATGGCGCAAACCAGAGGTCAATATCCCACGCCTAATCAAAATGGCAGCCATTTTAATTATTTAAGATTAGCAATCATGATAAAGTCTAGACACCCCCGTTAACATTAAAAATTAAATATTTTAATACTGACCAAAAGGTGAATTCTCTTTTTTCATAAAGGTATGCTGAGTTCAGTTTTCCTGCTATAAACTGTTAAAAAATTAATAGTGGATATTCCAAAATGACTGCCATTTTGATTAGGGGTGCGATATTGACCTCTAGTTTGCGCCATTTATTTTGTCTTGAGAAACCATTTAAAATGAGGGGTCACATGATAAGTGTTTACTTTTAAAAATTTGGGGCTGCCCCCAAAATACCCCATTTTGGGGGCCGGGTACAAGTTCTAACTTAAATGAAAAAGTGCATTTTTTTATGTTGTAAACATGTGCCAAGTTTGGTTTTCCCACTGCCACACGTTATAAAGTTAACTGGGGGTGTCCAGACTTTATCATGATTGCTCATGTTAAATTAAAATGGCTGCCATTTTGATTAGGCGTGCGATATTGACCTCTGGTTTGCGCCATTCAATTTCTATTAATAAACCCTTTAAAATGAGGGGTCACATGATAGGTGTTTACGTTTGAAAATTTGGGGCTGCCCCCAAAATACCTCATTTTGGGGGCTGGGGCAAAGTTGTAACTTTGATGAAAAAGTGCAATTTCTTATGTTGTAAATATGTGTCGAGTTAGGTTTTCTTATTGCAACGCGTTAAAAAGTTAACTAGGGGTATCCACACATTTGCCCAACCCTGTATATATATATATACGTCCGTGAACGCGATAACTTGAGTAATTTTTGTCCGATTTTGATGAAATTTGGTTTAAAGGTGTAAAGCGGGATAAACTTGAATGAGTTCGCGAACCAGCACGATCGGACCATGGGAACGGGGCTTTTTGGGGGGTTTTATGGGGTAAAAATTGGTTTTTCTCACTTTTGACCCTCAAAACACAAAATTTCCCGATTTCTCTTTAGACCTTTTTAAAGAGCTTAAAAAAACAAATAATTTAGTATATAAAAGTATTTTTGTTCAATTATTAGTAACGGAGAAAATTAAAAAAATTGTAAATTTAAAATTCCCATGTTATTCTTATGGAGAATATTGTCAAATGTTGTAGTTTGCTTGTTTATGGATATATTTTGATCAAACTTGGCAAATTTATTTATTTTGTACTAAGCTATCAATATTTTACTCAAAAACACACTTTATTAGTTTCCTTGTAGCAGCAAACCTAGGTACTCGTTAAACCTAATGTTATTAAAATATATTTAACTGAAAATCAATTCAGACAAATGGAAATTCGCTTAGTCGGCAGGTTTGCTGCGGCGGGGGTATTTTGTTATTTTGTGTGTGTTTTTACTCAAGTGACATTTTTTACGTTTTAAAAGGGAACGGCCCAAACCCTGGTTTTGTTACAACGTTGACCTTTTTGTTAGATAGCCCATTTTTGTCATTAATTCATAGCCCAATGCCAGTGACCAATGGCATCTGGGTCTTGAAACGATCTCGCTTGGATTCGAACCAGCGACCTTCAGATTTGTAGGCGAGCTCTAAACACTTGACGGCCCAGACAATTAAGCCTTTGGGGCTTAAATAATCAGCTGATCATTATGGGTAAAATTCACTAAAACTCATTGTAAAGACAGGCAAAAATCTATTAACTCATAATTACCTTGCAAGCTTCGCAAACTTTCTCCCCCATGGTGGACCATGAGTGAACGCAGCTTCTCCCACATCAGCAAAACTCATGGCGGGAGTCCGTGTTTTGTAGTACAGCACATGAGCACACTTCACCTGTGGCAAAATCATCATGTAGCTCATAACTTTAGTTCAACAACCAGAATATTTATCACTTATTTTAAATTACCAAGATGCAAATTATCAAGGTTCAATATTATGCAACCAATAAATTTTGAGATCAGAGTTTGTTTTCTTTTTCACCACTGCGATAACTTTGATCTTTATTTATTTAACTTTTAATACAAACTTTAGCTAATAGAGGTTCTTTTGCATTGATTTCAACTTATTTTTTCCGAAGTCTTCCGGTTGTAGAAGGATTTGCCGCTGAGATGTCAGCGTTGCCCAGGGTGCGCCCGATTGTGATGTCGTTCTTAGCGTGTAATGGCACAGAAAACGTACTACTATAACCCAGAATGCCAACCGCATAGTAAAAAGCATTAAGCGGTTTGAGAGAGCTTTGCCTGTCAATCCGTAGGCAGCGCCACCAGCGTTGCTATGCTATTGCATGGCAACGCTGGTGGCGCTGCCTACGGATTGACAGGCAAAGCTCTCTCAAACCGCTTAATGCTTTTTACCATGCGGTTGGCATTCTGGGTATAGTAGCACGTTTTCTGTGGTAATGGTCACAATCTTCAGGGAGGCTCCTTCTGTGCACCCCACATCTGCTGATCTGTCCACGCCTAGACCAATAGTCTTGCACATTAGATGATCTTTTACAAGCGAATGACAAAGCCATATCGGTAGCTAATTTTTGGAAAAGCGAAGTCTGATTTCCGGACACGGAAAGTAAATAAGTAAGTATTTCAACTTATAGATATGCAGGGCCTATGTAAATTTGAGAGATTTCTAAGCTTAATCTTCTAACTATAGAGGTACTTGAAAAAAACTTGAATCAATCAAGGGTTCAAAGCTATTTGAGAGGTAGAAATAAAAATATAACATTTGAGAAATTATTCAGCATTGCCTCCAGGATTGATTTATGACAAAATAAATAGGTTTACGTGCCTTACGTAGTCAATCCTATTGTAGTCTCAGGCCCGAGACTAACCTAAGGTACGTAAACCTATTTATTTTGAGAAATTAGGGAAATACAAGAGAAATAAGTAAAATTTGACAATCAAGAATGTGTATTGTCTTTCCTCTGACTTTTTTTGTTAAATACATCTTTTTTCAAAATATATAAGGAAAATCTGTTTTCATTTTGAATTTCACTGTGTCTACCACTGTTTACTTACAACTATGTAAGCACAGTGCGTGCAGACGAGGGCGACTATGATGGTGAAGAATATTCCCATGGTGAGGCCAGCGTTTTTGAAAGCGATGGGCATAGCCAGGATCCCCGTACCTAGAGATGCCTTCAGTAGATGAGTCAAAGTGTCACAGTCTCTGTAAACAAATAAAGATTTGAACAAAACTGTACAGTAAACACACATTAGTACAGACATCAATTCTGACTTTTTTTTATTCAAAAAACTATTTAATATAGGCTAGCTGAATATTTACATCTAGTAGCATGCTGTTTTCTTTTTCTTAATCTTCACTGTCAGTGTGTATGTAACATTGTGGAAAGGGTGAGTGTTAAGTGAGAAATGTTTTCTTTTACATACAAAAAACTTGCCAAAACATACAAAGATGGAAATGTGAGAATGATAAGACCCACAAAAAAAGGGGGCTTACGATGTGTTCTTCTATTCACACTACAAATTAACATCACCACCTTCTTTTGTAAAGTAAAAAGCAACCTGTTATCATAAAAAACTTTTGGCCCACAGTGAGGTACCATGAGATAAATAGCTATGAATGTGCCCATAATACATACAAATAAGGACATCAACTGAAACTGAAAATTTTAAGCAGCACTTTCATTTATCTATGTTACCTAACTTGGACCACATAAAACATACTACTATAACCCAGAATGCCAACCGCATGGTAAAAAGCGTTAAGTACTTTGAGAGAGCTTTGCCTGTCAATTCGTAGGCAGCGCCACCAGCGCCTATGCTAAGTGCATAGCAACGCTGGTGGCGCTGCCTACGAATTGACAGGCGAAGCTCTCTCAAAGTACTTAACGCTTTTTACCATGCGGTTGGCATTCTGGGTTATAGTAGTATGTTTTCTGTGCTTGGACCCCCTATCCATCCAGTATTTTACTGAATAAGAATAAAGCCTGTTCTTCTTTGAACAGCAAGCAACAAAGAACATTGTCAAATGTTGTCAAATACCAAAATACACAAAGCATGACCACTCTAAACATCCTTGAATCATTTATCTTAAGCTACTAACAAGTTTGCTGCTGTCTTAATGTCGGTTTTAAAACATTACAAACTGTGTGAAGATACATTACATAATATATTTACCTTTACTGAATTTCTGAGTATTATCAACTCAAGGAAAATTTGCTTATATTTTTCACATTTAAATGTTTTTATGCAAATCTGTTAAAGTGTTATCGCAAAAATATACCTCCAGAGTAATATATAATTTAATTACTAGGACCGAAAGTGGCATTTTCCGGTGCGCGCCCAAGTTTTTGTGTGAGGCGAAGCCACACACATGGAACCCCAATTTCACGTGCAAGGTGAAGCTGAGGACAGGAATAATGGAGCAAGTGCCGGATAATAGCTTTTGGTAGGAGTTATGAACGATACTTTTCATCACGAAGCAAAAATACAAAAAAATCCCAACTGTGCCACTCAAAAGCAATCTATTCTCTGAAGTGTGTTATGTGACCTTCTATTGTGTATCCATTAGCTCCTGGACTCTAATTTTTACAGGTAAGCTAGCTAAGCTTTATTTGATTACAAAACAAATCTATAGTAAAGCATCACATCTTTGAAATCGCTTTTGATTTCCATTACAATCTCTCTTTTCTATCTAAATGGTTATGATTTGAAAATAACAGGAATACACCTGACAAAATTAATTAACAGCTGTGTTTTTGTCACTGAAGCCGAAAATATCAGTTTTGAGCCAAGATTGCAAAACGCTGCTTTTGGTCAGGGATATGAAGATCCTAACAAAAAGGTAATGCATATTGTGTTGAATAACTGAGAATTTTGTATTAGCACTTTTGTGAAATACTTACGATGTAGGATGCTCCACCTTCCTCTCTTTGAACGGATCGTAGTACTTCCCATCTATACTGTTGAGACGCTCTGCTTCCAAATCTCTCGTCTTGGCTGGAGAAACTGAGATCTTGTATCTACAAAACACCCAGCTATTAAATTATCTATAATAAATCGTACAGCCAATTAAATAACCACTTCCTTGCCAGCATTGGAAACTTTTAAAACTAAGTTATTCTGCTAGATATACAAATGAAGTTTCTATTTAAATTTTACATGTTGAATTTGGTGAAATACTATACAGAATAACTAGTTTACTATAATAAACTGCTAGTCCAATGAAACAAATGCTTAAATCCAATGTCTACCTTGAAGTTCTTTTCTTGGGTTGTATTAAACAACTGCAGTATCAAAAGAATTGTAAAAGTTATTAATAATTTGACAGTCATTACAGTGGATGAATATTGTAATATCAAAATCCATAGGCCTTTTATATAAAAAATTAGAAGTATATCGGAAGAGTTGTCTGCAATAAGCAATAATCATGAGTAATTTGGTATCATTTCATGACTAAAACACAGTCACACACATCCTTTGGTATCATAAGAAACTGAGTCATAAGAAACCGAGAGAAAAGAGATGATAGACAAGTTATTTTGACAAAATTTGTTTATGAACCAATTAATTAATAAAGGCATCTAGAACAGCTAAATAAAATTAAAAAATAGTTTTCTCTTAAGGTTTTGACTGGGGAGCGAGCTGGTCTAGTAGTTAGAGCGCGGGTCTTCGGTCCCTGAGGTCCTGGGTTAAAATCCCGCCAAATCATCAATGGATTTTATCTTATTATTGGATAATACCGCAACCCCTAGGTCTAGCCTGAAGTAATGTGTAAAACAATTCCAGGCTCGTGCCTATAGCGTCCTGGAAAAAACTTTTGACCACTTGACATTATTTTGACCATCCAGTGAAAACCTTATTTCAATCCCTTTGCCTTTCCCGAAAAAACAAACCAGACTAATGAGATGAGGTGTGAAACGTAGTTTAATTTAGCCAAACTCACCCACTCAACTGATAAAAATAACAGATTTCTCTCGAATATGATAACTTTTTCATTAAACTATTTTATTTTGAATACAGATTTTTAATCGGAGCTGTCTTGTCTCCTGGTCTAGGTCCATAATTTTACATAAAAAAAATACTCACTTGTCTTTGATGTTAGATCCATCTTTGGGCAAAAATGTTTCCATTTCCGTCATATTGGCTTGTCCGTTGGTAGCCTGAAAAATAGAAATACAGTACTGTATTATATCATATCTCTCTGCAAATAAATAGAATATACGTCAATTTCAACGGAAATATATCGTGCATGCTTATACCTACATTACTATCAAATTAATCATTATTAATTTATATTTTATACTCAACTCATTGCCTCTCTTTCATAAAAAAATAATTGCAGGTCCAGGCATTTTATTTGAGTTTTTTTCCTTTTATTGCCATTTTTACGTTGTTTGTGAGTGAGCTCTAAATCCTGGTTTTGACACTATCTATTGTCAACTCCAATTTTTAATAGGTAACATATGTTTTTTTTTTAACAAATTCCAAAACGAGTATTTTTTATTCAACTCATCTATGCATCCAGGTAGGCCTATTTATACGTGTCCTTTATATTTGTTATTAGTATATTTTGTGCAGGTTTTATCTGAAAGTAAGGGTATTTATTATTGGTGTAATTAAAAAGCATGAATAAAGCTTCGCAAAGTTATGTGATATAAAAAATTTTGATTTCATGTAAGGAATGGCAACAACTAATACTACTACCTATGCAACAATCAACCATAATAAACAATCAACCATTCTGAAACACCGAATTTAAGCTAAATGGTTCATGTTGCCTTGCTTCACCAACCTAGGATCATAACTGAGCCAGGTAACACCCTAAACAATTACTTTAGCATAATACACAGATTGAAGTGTATGTTCAGATATGTGTATGATTGTAAGTCTAATGTTCCAAAATCTGCTACCGTACATTATTAATTCATCAAGACGTGAATGATGGCTGAGTAGAGCGTCCTATGTGAGAGGTTGGCAGACTGTTTTGTATGATACACACTAAAACAATCAGAAAGTACTACCAAGAACACTACCGAATGACAAAATCTCTCCTCAGAAGGATGGCAGAGTAGTGCAGCCTATGTGAGAGGTTGGCAGACTGTTTTGTATGATACACACTAAAACAATCAGAAAGTACTACCAAGAACACTACCGAATGACAAAATCTCTCCTCAGAAGGATGGCAGAGTAGTGCAGCCTATGTGAGAGGTTGGCAGACTGTTTTGTATGATACACACTAAAACAATCAGAAAGTACTACCAAGAACACTACCGAATGACAAAATCTCTCCTCAGAAGGATGGCAGAGTAGTGCAGCCTATGTGAGAGGTTGGCAGACTGTTTTGTATGATACGCACTAAAACAATCAGAAAGTACTGAAGCACTACGGAATTACAAAATCTCCCTATACTGTACAGACGGGTTGTGTCAATGTACTCGCTTCCGTTCCGTGTCATACAAAACGGAAAAAGTGTAGAATTCAATTGATACCTAGTTCCCAAGAGGAGTGTCGGATAACAATCCAACTGCATAGCATATCTGCGGTGTGTGCCTAAGTTCGAAAATTCTTAAAATATAAAGATGCAGTAGCCTAAACAGCACCCTTGTGTGCTAAAAAGTAAAAGCTCCGTAGCTCAGAAATCAGTCTTTGTATATCAGCAATCCGCATTCATAAAGCGTCATGTGAAAATGTAACTGAACATAAAACAACACGGTAGCTGGGAGATGTAAGCTCCACGTATTACAACGAGTGCCCTACACAGGCTTTGCGTGATCATGTTCACCACATGTTGAGGTGTTATCTAACAACTGACAACTGATAACGATACATCTAATGAACCCTGATAAGCGATACACGGGGGAGAATTTTGTGACACCAACATGTGCTAAAAGATTAAATGTTCATCACTTCGATGATATATTCCTCGGTGAAAACTGTCAAGATAGTGAAGGGAAGTTATACTGCGTTATTGAAGTAGGCTACTGTTGGATTAGGTATTGCAAACAACTACACTACACTCATCTAAAATTAATTCGTCTTTATGTCCACATTTAAGTATCTATCTATATCTATAAAAGAGGAACTATGTATGTGTGTATGTATATATGTATATACGTTATGGACTCCGAAACCGCTCGACAGATTGTAATGAAACTTTCAGGCATTATTAAGCATCTTTCAAGGATGGTTCGAGTGAAGTTTGGTGCAGATCTGTCAAAAGGGCTCTGCCCCAGAGGGTTTTAAGTGGGCCAATGTCAGACTTTTTGATCTACAATGTTTACAAATAAATATTATTTAAAAGCAGATGTTTACTTTCACCAACTGTTTTGTAGGTTTGAATAATTAATTACAACATTCTGTATTAGCATTAGTCATTATTTGAAATAGTGCCACAGTGTTTCTACAGAGTGCATCACAGAAAACTATTTTACTTTTGAATAAGTCCAAATGTATTAAACCCCAATCGCAGCACACCTGTGCACTTAACAACGTTTAAATTCTCCAACGTTAAATATTAAAACATAAAAACCTTTATTAAAGTATTATAAACAATAAAAGGGATGACTTTTTAAATTTATGACAACAGCTAATTTGCAACCAAAAGGTGAGTGAGCGTAGCGAACGAACATCAACCTGGAGGCGAGTTAGCGTAGCGAACGAGCTAACCTGAAAACAAGTGAGCGCAGCGAACGAACTTCAACCGGGACGTGATTGAGCCATGCGAATACTTATGAAGTTAAACGGGGCAAAGCCCGCGGGTACAGCTAGTAGGCCTATATGGTACGAAGCTGGCATTTATAGGTGCTTTCAATTTAATAATTCTGGTTAAAGAAACAGGTGGCATTTAGTCAATATCAAAGCTCCACATAAATTCGCTCCATGCTACAACTACCCTGCAATTAATTTAAACTTAAAATACGTACTTGCATTGTTATAACTGAAAAAATATGGTTAAACTGGCCGTTTATAATAGTTAAAAGTGTTTTAAATTTCTCGAAATATCAAGGAATAAATAGTACACATTAAACCCAACTTCATACAACGGACGTAGTTATACTGTAAAATTGTGAAATATAGATTGGATCTGAAAGGGATTTTTTATTTTGCAGCTGAACTCTAATCGTGAACCAATCAACAGTGGACGAAATGAAAAGAATCGCAAACCAACTGGTTGAAACTTTTAAATACGAGCAACAACTCGGTTTGATGGGATTCTTTCAATGTTTACATAATTTGGTCCCATGCATTACTCAATTTTATACAGTGCTAAACACCAATTTAAAATAATTAATCAGTAGCCATATGGTCAGTGCGGCTTGGCTTATACACATGTTCACGCGAGGATGACGTCACAAGAGTAGTTAGTCACTGTAGACCCAAATCAATATATGCGGCGTCCAGGCGTCCACAAACAGTCAAATTTACTACTATAGCCGAAATTATCTTAGTTTGTGTCTGACTAGCTGACAAACTTCTGCCCCGGTTATTAATGTACACACAAGAAATCTTCGACTAATCAAGACCAAAGAGGTCGCAAGACCAAGAGAGAGAACTTATGAATAATTAGATTAGATTTATGCGAAGCAGACAAACGAGAATGCGAATTTTAAGGCGAATAAATATAAATGGATTAGTTTTGAATTAATGAGATGATAGCTTTACTACTAAGAATGTATAGATTCATCAGCCAGACAGGATAATTATTAATACTCCAATGATAAGGGACAACAGGGGACAACTGGGTTTAGTTTCGAACCATCAATCAAAAGCTGACTTCTTAGAATCGGACCGAAAATATTCTGATAACCAGGCAATCGAATCAGGCAATTGCTGTTCTACTCAGCCACCCAGCTAAATATTGTATGCTAATTTTCTACACCGGTAGGGATATCGAACTCTTGCTATCGTAAATCATAATATTCATGCATGAACTAGGTTGAAAACCTTTCTGAAGTCCTTTCAATATCTATGAATTTTAAGGGTTTTACTTGCACTTTTCGTAGGTTTATCCTTTGCAAGCTCTGCAACTGCCTAAGGTTTAATGCCGTGAAGTTATGCTTAAGTTATGAGCTTGATTTTTGCCACAAACCAAACGTATCATTGATGTAATACATACATAAATACATTGAGATCAATACTAGACGGAAAAACAGATCTTTATTATAAAACATCAAACACATTAGCCATCTGCTTGCGCTTGTTGGGTGTGGCTTTGCTTATTCGTGTTTTAACGTTCCGATATAGATTAGGTAGTCATGAGTGAGATGAGAGTATTTTCTAAAGTTACATGGACATTTTACGACTTTTTTTGTGAGTTTGCAGTTTTATGAGTACGTTTTTATATTTGCTAGTTTAGTACCGGTACTATTGCATGATTTTTATGAAACAAGTTAAAATACTAAGTAACAATGCTTTAGTAGTTCAGTTTGACTTAAACCATAAACCTAAACTGTTGAAATAGTTATACAAGTCAGAAACTGTAGGTACAATGAAAACTCAACGATTCCAGTGCCATCAAATGTCGTCGTCTAAAAACAAACAAACTCCAGCTTGCTGTGCATGGACAGAATATTTATAAGTCTTCACTACATTTACATAAGAACTATTTAACATGCTCATAACGTAGATACTATGTTACAAAACTGTACCATTAGGACAACTCATTCCTATGTTACAGCTGTTTTGAGTAAAATGACCGTAGTTGAATTTTATTGAGCCATCAAGTCTTTCAAATACGCCCACCTTAACCAAGCCGAACTGAAAGGATGACTTATTGAGAACTATACAGAATCATCTTTTACTTCACACTAAACTATTATTAACTATTATTCTATCATACTGAGAGGGAAAGCAGATGTACAGCATTGCACTTTGCGGAGGGCTAATTCCTCTGTTCTTTTTCTATTAACGATTGAGTGTAGCTCGTCTATTTGGATAGGATATCGAATGAATTTTACAGAAGTATGGTACAAGATTAAGAGGGCAATCATAATCACCCCTTTGTCGATGAAATAATTAATGAAGACGGGGTGGAGTCTCGTGTGCTATAAATGAATAAAATTGACCTTATCGATCTAGTGTTACTCAGCACATTGACTGTTTTACATAGCAACAACATACAACATACCCCGTCATACAACCTAGTAAAAATAAATACAAAACACATTCTCGGTTAGCTAATATAAGTGTAAAAGAAAAACAAATAAACCCTTCTAATTTCATTATTATTGAACTCCAAGCTATTAAGTTAGGAGCAATTAAAAAATAACTTTCGTGTAACTGCAAAAAGTTATTTGAACGAGCTAATTTCTGTTATTTTCCAAGCAAATTAATTACCGTTGAATTTTCAAATATCTCTCCGTGCAACCACATCTAATGATTTATCTCATGGGGTTCTAATGTTCTGTTGATATATCGGTATTAGAAAACATTATGTCACGTTAACAATGTATTTATTTATTGCAACGGGAAACCCATTACATTGATTCATTACAAAAAAATAATAATACTAATAAATAATAAAAAAGGAAATACGTGTTACTATAAATAGTCAACAACTACAACAACGACGACGTATTAATCAATAAGTCTAAATTACTGCAGCAAAAAAATGTGTGCATCTAATAACCAAGTAACAATATAACAACAAATAAATATTTCAATTAGTATGAAAGGAAATACGCTAATGGCCTTAATGAGCCCACATCCAAATCGAAGGATGGTGGTTTTATTAATTCCGGGATCAAAGCGGGAGAGTAAATGTCAGATTGATTTAGTAAACAACTTCACCCAAGGTTAAATGAGGTTATATTAGGCGGGATTTAAATTGCATGCAATTGACAAACCATCAACTAATAACTTCGAACACACAATTGTTTAATCTTTTTATTGGCGTTGAAATTTAAAATAATACTGTTCACCAAAATTAAATTGTTTTAGACTGATACTGTAAATAGTTTTTTTAAGCTGGTAACAGGCACTTAAATATTTCTGATTAAAGTTTTTTTTTCGCGAGAAATATTATCGTAGATTAAAAACTTATTTGACAGGGATATAATTAATTAGTCGTTAGTGATATTTTTGTTCTATAAAATTTGTTTGAAAATATACGATAACTTACCATTGTGGTGGGATTTTTTACGGCTTCGGCGTAGAATGCGGGCAATTTCTGAAAAACAACAACAAATAATTACTAAAACTTCCTACGATATGTGGAAATGTACTTAGTGCTGAAACTAGTAATTAAACACCCTCCCTTCCCAAGGCTATTTTGTGTGTTGCTTGATATGTACTTGATTAGACATCGACAGAGCGTGTAATTGAAGGTGGTGATGACTGTAGGACATTATTATATTGTTATGGTTATTATATGGTGAAAGCTTTCTTACTGATTAATATCTGCGAGTTATTTTGTCTGGAATATTCGATGACGCAACGTATCCATTACATTACAATATGGAAATACCCTTGAGAATCAAAATTATGAATGTTCAAAAACTTATTTCGAACTGACACAAAAATAAAATAGAGTATAAAAGGACAGTCGGGAAAGAAACACTGGACATACACGTGGAACGTAATGCCAGAAAGCAGGAAAGTCGACGCTGAAGCGACGTTTCGCGAAGCTGATGCAGAGCTTTGTCAGGGACAGCTAGATCAGCTGATAAGTCCGAGTGTTTCTGGTCTGCAAATTTCAACGACAACTCCCATCCGGCGTTACGAAGCATAACAGCTGTCCGACAACTTCCTTTTGGCTTTGTAATTTCAACACTTCCTTTATGACGCTATTGGTCTAAACTCTGTCCATGCTGACCAGAATAAGATGTGCTTATTATCTTAGCCTTGTGACTAACAAGTCTCAAACGTAGTTAGTTGAAATTCAACTTGGAAACTTGCAGTTAAATTTATCTCAAGGCCATTCATAACGACTGACTGCTGACTGACTATTTATGTGTGAGTGTCAGTTGCAGCAGTGTTTTATCGTTAAAGAGCGAAAGATGGATGTACAGTATTAGTACTACTATGCAGTAGAAAATTGACAGCGCGGCACACTGGATAATCCGACACTTGATAACTTTGATAAATTAATTCAAGTTAGTTGTGAACCATTATTCCATTCATAACAAATACTATACAAAAATTATACAAATAAAATCTAATATTTTCACAATATTCGTAACAGTAGCCACCTAGACTACTTTCAAAGCCACTACAAAATTTCTAGACAAATTTACAAAGTAATATAATTGATTAAGTACCTATTATCTTTGACAATTTATAAAAACACTCTATCCTCTTGTTAAAGTTGTCACCAGTTTTAAAATCAAAATGGACGTAATTGAATTGAACCACCGATGTCAATTTCAGATTTATACTGAACCCCAACAATTATTAAGAAAACACCATCAACCAAAGAACCTGGCCTTAAGTGAAGGATTAGTTTTGAATTAATGGGATGCTAGCTTTGTTACTAAGAATCTATGGAATCATCAGCCAGGCAGGATAATTATTAAAACTCCAATGATGGACAACTAGGTTTATGCACAGCTACTATAACCCACACACTTATACAACTCATACGTCAACCCCCAACTTATTAAAAAAAATAAGTAAATTTTAATGTTAACCTAAGAATCTATTCATATAAGTTTGAATATGGATTTGTAGATTGTATGTGTGAAGGGTCATACACATCCTTTCCAACCAAGTCAAACTGATAGGACTGCATTGTAAGCTATAGCATATTTGATGCCACATCAACTATCCTAGTACGGTAACAAAAACTAGGGAAGTAAATTGAGTGGACATCCCCATGTGTCATTGAGTTAAGTTGGAGGAGCGCATTCTGTAAGAGGCTACGTTCTTTTTAATAAAAAAATGGCAACATCTGGTCTATAGATGGAATGCCTATTCAAAAGTAAGCGATACTATTTACATTGGTCGTCTTTGCTATCGTAACAGAATCGTCACCACACACGTGGCCTACACCAAGCTGTAAAGTAACACGTCGCATGTGTTTGCGTTATCAGCTGTTCATTGTTGTATCAGCTGTTCTTGCTCCAGTTCACACGTCTGTTCCTTTAGCGTCACTGTCTAATAGAGAGGAAATCAATCAAGTGATGTTTCAAGGTCGAAATGGTAATCTATCTTTAACGTACATTATCTATAAGCCCTCGTAAATAAATAATACGAGGGGATTTGAATGTATATATGTTAAAAATATGTAGCCTATATTATGGAACTACATTATGGTGACTGGTGAGACGTTTTCAGTTGTTTCATTCGCTATTTTCCCTGTATGCCAGTGTTCAATCAAATTAGGTCTACGTTTATTATATATTATATACGCATGGGCCAAGACTGGGAATACATTCTGTTTTTATTTGCACGCAGGATACACTTATGTCATCAGTTTTTATGTCTCACAATCGGTAGTTCGTACACAGTTGTTTGGTTCCCGAAAATCAAAGTAACCGTATTTTACCTAATCTGGACTTATATATTTATTTTTTCCACCCTCAATTTTCTGTGTTATCTTATTTTCGAATACTGCAAGCTCAAGATTAGCTCGTTCTTACAACAAGTATTGTTATATTTTCCAGCGTTATAAAGACAGCAGTACACATGGTCAAAGGTACAATTCAATTGTGTTCTAAAACTAGTCACATCTTTAATGTGTCTGCTCAAATCTATATTAGCTATGAAGTTACCGTAATTGTTTGTCCGTCAACTGTCGACCATACTCTACAACAGTAAGTTGCACCATCAACTTTATATATTACAAGTATGTTCGTAGATTTGGACTTGGTAGCGTTTAGAGTGCTTTGATGAAATCTAAATTTTAATTATTTTATTTGGAGGTAGGTTTATGAATTTTACTTTTCGATACAACAGCTTTGCTCTACTCTCTTGCCGTTAAGCTATTGTCTACAATAAACCCTTTTTTGCTGAAACAATTTTTACAATATTTATACAAGTTAAATACCAAGAAACAAACGGTTAACAACAAACCCCAACCAAATAAATCGAACAGCATTAGTATTTAATTTTCTTCGACAGTTCCATACAGAAAGCATAACTAGGGAGGATGTTTAATCTATGGTTGCAGTTATGCAAGGGTTTGGCCGGTGACTAGGGTAGTGTTACAAGGGCTGTGGAGGGAGGGTCGGTCAATCCTGTTTGTTCGTATTAAGCACCCTTGTACAGTATCATGTGTCATTCAGTAGATTATGTGGGTTGGATGGTTCTTTGATCATATGTTCTGCAAACTGTACTGATAATTGGCACGATTGGTGAATCGTGAATGCACCTACGTTACTGTATGTGACAAATACTAAAGCCAAGAATACATTTCGTAATAAACTTTGCTGGAAACTATCCAAGCCCAAGCATACTCAAACTGAGGTTATACTTTAAGCGAGTGGACTTTAGGGTGTAAGCAGAAACTTCAATACAATCAAACTAAGCAAGGTCGAAGTGTCAGATAACCTTCACTTACATGACAAAACATTGTTCTGTTTTAGCCATCCAAGGCTATATGAATGTATACATGTATGGTACAAATGGAAGCGGACTACTTTTGACAAGGGTGGTTTGTTCAAATTAATTAATAAGAATATGGTCAGCTTGTCTTCACTTTTTCTTAAAGTAATAAAGTACATGTACTTCACACACACATTTGTATCACGGTCACAAATCTCGTCGTCCACAAGTACTACCACTTTCACCTAGGTCAACAATACTCATCGGAAATGGCAACTATCTCCTGCCTAAAGAATATCCATTGTCAATAATCATCGCTTCCTTTATAGTTTTGACCTCCATTTTAGTAAGGCATATTTACATAACCTTAATCTAATGCCAACATCGGACATCATTAAGTCTTTGGGAGGTATGAACATCAATTCGACAAAGCGTGTGCGGTACGAGGGACTGAGACGGGCTTTGTATGTTGATGACTTGCTAATACGGTGACAGTGTACCTACAGCAACGCAGTGTCGGCGCATGCGCTGGATACTGATACTACCTTGTCGCCTTGACATAGAGGAGGTTACTGGCAACATTTGTGTAAAAAATAATGCTTGGAGAACAGAATAAAGTGTCTAGAAATGCAGAAGTAACAAAAAGGCATACGCTCTATCTACAACTTGTTACTATCTACTAAAGTTCTTGAAATAAATACGGTAATTGACTAATTTGTCGAATAGTATTCGTCAAAGTTCCCCTTGCTATGTATGCAGCAGTCTAGTCACAGTGTTGAAGTCCCGGTTCGCTGATTTTGAGTAAACTCAACCCTTCTAGTTTAGGGCAAATTGTACAACGTAGGTGCTACACTCTGGTTGTAATACTAGAGAACTGAAAGAACTAAGCAATCGTTTACAAATTGATAGTTTTCTTTGGTAACGATAGCTGGAAAATAGTTATATAACGGAAGACAACTAGTAAACAGCAAAATACTATTTAAACAATCTTCATGTGATACATAAGAATTTACACTACACTTTTATTCTAAAATAGAATGCGAAATCTACAAATAGTATTCAAAGTCAATCATTGCAGTGAAGTCAATATTGACTTGGTTTTTGTCGGTGTAGAGAACTATGTTGTTACAGCTAAGTTGTTTAGAAATGTCAATAACAGTTTGATACAACAAAGAATAGCTTACACCTCGCGACCAACAAAGCAGATTGTTTGCTTGGTTCAGCTGTTTTCGTCGAGTTGCTGAGTTTGCCGAACTCGTCCACGTCGCCTTGGTACAATCACCGCCTTGTTATGTGCTACCAAGCATTTCTGTAAATATTTAAATATTAGCCTGGCTAAGTGGAATTAACCATGAACTCTTTTTCCTTATCGTCCACTTTCCAAGGTGTAACTGTATTGTGCATTTATTGCATCAAGATATCATCAGACCCGGTAAATCCCTGTTTTATTTGGATTGATTTGTGTTTCCCTACGTTACTAGTATTGTTTGTGTTTTCTGTGAGAGGGCGTTAACAAATTTACCACCTAATATCGCACTTTTCTCATTTATGATTTTATCAAATGCCCAATGATAAAAAGTATGTGGCCCAAAATCGAACTCGCTCGGATCTAACTATAACTTTCCGATTTGAACGCGAAAATAATATACAGTGTATGTGTATTATTGCCATATTGGCGTTTCAGGA